TTCCTGCTGCCTTGCAGTTCGCACCGAGTTGTGCAAGGGCTTGAGGTGCGCCCTAAAAATTAAAAAAACGCCGACTGACTCTGGGGACATCTCTCGTACCAAACGCCCAAGGAACTTCATGATCATGATCATGTCTGGAGCTGGCTTATAATTTCCAAGGAGCAAGCCGCAGTAAAGTAAAGTAAGTGAGTTCTTCTTCAGGGACTATCTCGATCCTTTGTTCCCATTATGTTCAGCCTTGTTGCTAAAGAACATTCATGCAAATGAACGGATATTGACAGAACACGGCCGCTCCACATGCACTGAAAGTGTCATCTCAGCTGGAGGTGAAACGTTCGCAAACGCACTGCTAAGCAGGAGAGGGATTGATGAAAATCAATAACAACGTTTATCTCACACCAAATTGTTTTCGGAACAATTGCTTTTCCATTCTGAGTAGCATGAGAGAGTTCTCAATTTTGGATCGATATTCCGTCCAACGGTAACTCACTCAAGAAAACACGAGGTCTTATCATCACGACACGCAAGTATCGCTTTCTTGGTTGGTTTTCCCTGCTGTACAGCCAGTGAGCCACCAATCAATCAATCAATAGGTATAGTGCGCGCGTCGGGTATCGAGTATTTTTGTGACTACCAACACTGGCAACGTGGAGAACAAGCACCGCACCTCAAACAAGGGGCAATGGGAGTCGATTGAAACAGCCTTTTTCCGATCTGAATTTGAATGAAGAACACAGCAGCACAGTGTTGCACAACTGATTTCCGGAAACATTTTTCTGTGTCTTCAGGTATACACTACAGCCAAAGAATATGATGAAACCTAACAAGTAACATTTACCGCAGTTGAGCTGTTGGCGTTATCTGCATCCATCGTTCTAGCAAGATAGGACTAGAGTTACAAATAACTCTTTCTGCTTGCACAGTTCAGGCTTCCATCGTGATCACTGCTTTTAAAAGTGTTCTCATCAAGCAAAACTCTCGGTTGCTCCAGTTTGCAGAGGCGATTGCTATTGAACGATGGAAGCCTGAACTGTGCAAGCAAAACGAGTTATTTGTAACTCCAGCCCTATCTTGGTAGAAAGATGGATGCAGATAACACCGACAGCTCAACCGCGGTAAATGTTACTTGTTAGTTTTCATCATATTCTTTGACCTGAAGAGACACAGAGAAATGTTTCCGGAAATAAATTGTGGAACACTGTGCTGCTGTGTTCTTTATACAATGGAAGTCTCCGGAAAAAGAGTTTAAAGAGATTATTCATGACAAGGCAAAATGTATTTTTTCACATCGGCATTCGACTCGATGCGAGTGTGTGCTCGGGATTCCTAATGTGAATTTACTGCTCTCAAGACTGAAGATTGAAGCATGAATTATAAATTTTTCTTTGTTATGTACAGTTCGAAATCGCCAGGATCTCCTCAGTATGGCGAGGCGAACTGCCAACACAAAACACAGAACTTGGAACGTAGAGGACCTCAAACGGTATAACAGGTCGCAATTCAACTCGTCCGGTAGGGAGAAAGGTACAGGCGAACGTAAGTTGTGAAAAAAAACGAGGAAACAAAAATAGTCACGGTGAAAGCAGACCACACTTACTGACGATAGTTCAACATTTGGATCATAAAGTCCAAATAGCTTTGAGCCAGTTTATGGGCTTCTGTGGACTGACTTGAACCGGGTTTGTTGGCCGATTGACGAATTCGATTTAACAGTTGGGGCTCACAAAATGCACTTCGCACGGTAGTCACTAGCCACACTGCAGCTTTGCACAACTGAGATAGGAGTGACTGACGTTGACTGAAATGGATGAAAGAACGGTGGTCAGCTCATCAAACAGAAAGCTTCTAACAACGCAAAGTTGTACTGATGATTAGTGATAGTTCCAAAAAAACCATAGATTCAGGGGGTACACTAAACACTGTGACGATGGTTATAAAGTCTGTTAAACACCACGAAAAGATAAGCAGTTTTATTCCGGTTCTCTTGAACTGATTCCAGAGGAAAGTCGATTGACTTGCTACATTTCACCGTGTATGATTTGGCCTCCAAAGGCCTCATTATGGTCGGGAATGAGTGTCCCGGGTTGTTTTGGCTGGTCACCCTTCCCTTGCACCTCGCGAAATGCTACTATATGACCAAGCATGCTAAATGGCCTCGGTTGAAGAAGTCCTGCTCACTGTCCTCTCGTGGTGGACGGGTGTTTCCACCAAAGTGAGGGACCCAAAAGTCAACATCGGGGGTATAACCAGGTCGGTGAACCACTGGCAGTTCACCTCGGGGAGTTGGCCAAAATCCCTGATTTCAAACCAACTAAGAACAGACGTACGAAC